AAGTTACTGCGCCATGAACGGGCAATGACTCTAGAACACATTGAAAGGATAAAACAGCATATGACAAGCAGAGAGTAAGTGTTGGCAAGCGAATTGGACCATCAGCTTGCAGGGTACGTCTCAGCTTGTGCATGTGCAGTGCGTGGTTCGCCTCCCTGTAGCGCTTACAGCCCTTAGAAAAATAATCAGCGCCGCGCGGATCGAGCTCTCCGTCAGCACGACGAGGGCCTTGTCAGTGCAGGCGACGCCAGGGGAGCACACACACCTGTATGTAGGTCCATGCGTCCAGTACATGCATGTATGTAGACGCAAAACACATGATTGTATATACAAGTGGCACGTGTGTGCCCAGGCTCATACAAAAAACTGAAGGGGCGTTTGAAGCAGGAGTGAAATGCAACATCGAAGTCGCACTCGAGCGCAAGCGGGGTTGCCACACCTTGCGATGTGTGTACCAGGACCCCCCAGGAAGCCTCAGGAGGCCCCACTTGGATACCAGAAGAGGCTCCAGGAGGCCCCAGGATTGTGAGTGTTGTGCGTGTGTGTGTGTGTGTGCGCGTGTGTGTGATGTATGTTTTGTGTGGTGCGTGCTTTTTGTGTGTTGTAGGTGTGTTGTGTGTGTGTGTGTGTTATGTTTGTCTAGCGTGTGTTGTGCTGGGCGTGATTTGTGTCACTGTGTGCATGTAGTTCTGAAGCCCCAGGAGGCCCCAGGAAGCCCCAGGCGGCCTCAGCAGGCCCCAGGAGACCCCAGGAGGCTTCAGGAGGCCCCAGGAGGCCCCAGGAGGTTTCAGGAGACCCCCAGGAGGCTCCGAGGCGGGGTCTGGGGTGCCAGAAGGTTCAAAAAGCCCCAGGAGGCCCGAGGAGGTTCCAGGAGGCCCCCAGGAGGCTCAGAGGCGGGGTCTGGGGCTCGATTTTGAAATGATTTTTCAAGCGAAACCGCCATTCCTTGAGAATCGGGGTCACAATTATTGAAATTACCATGTGTTTTTGAAGGCTTTATGTTAAACTGTTAGAATTCCCATGTGTTTTTGGACCCTGACGTCACGATCTGCGTGACGGGTGCCACCGATTTTCAGAATTTCGAGGATGCCCCGAGCGAAACGCCCAGACAAATCGCGGACGCGTGCGCATTAATCGCTTCTGAGCTCTACTCCCTCGGAGAGGTGCGTATGAGAACATATATATATATATATATATATTCATGATGTATCGACGTAACTCTATACAGCCATATATTTATACACCTAGAACTTTATATATATACACATATATATATGCATATTCCTATCGATATATGTATGTATATATCCAGTTGCTTGCGGCAAGTCCCGCCAACGTGCCAGCCCAGCATTCTGCGTGGCGACCGATCGATGCGACACGAGAGGCCCTCACGCGCGACACCTCGTGTGTCCAGCCTTCGGGGAGCCGTGGCCAGGATCAGAGCTATGAGGATTGTTGGGGTGGTGGTGATGATGATGATTATGATGATGATGATGATGATGATGATGGTCGATGGTCGATGGTCGATGGTCGATGGTCGATGGTCGATGGTCGATGATCGATGATGTTGATGCTGATGCTGATGCTGATGACAATCGACGGTGGTGAGTATGGCGATGATGAAAATGAGGAGGATGAGGATGCTGATGGTGGTACTGGGGTTGGTGATGATGACTATGATGCTGGTGGTGGTGGTGGTGACGACGACGACGACGATGACGATGACGATGATGACGACGACGACGATACGGTAACAATCGTGATGGTGTTGATGGTGATGCTGATGATAAGTATAATGAATATGGTGATGATGATGATGATGATGATGATGATGATGATGATGATGATGCTGATGCTGATGACGATGACGATGCTGATGATGATGCTGATGATGATGATGATGATGATGATGATGATGATGATGATGATGATGATGATGATGTTGAAGATTTGGATACTGATTTTGCTGATGCTGCTGATAATGATGACGATGATCATGCTGATGATGATGAGGATGAGGATGAGGATGAGAGGAGGAGGAGGAGGAGCAGGAGCAGCAGCAGGAGCAGCAGCATTAGCAGGAGGAGGAGGATGATCATGATGATGAAACCAGTGGGGCCGTCTTTGGGCTGCATTCCTGTGAGGCAGTCTTGGGGGTCCCTCAGGGCCCTCTTGGGCTGTATTGGGGCTTACTTCCGCTTGCTTGGGGTTCTCTTGGGCCGTTTTGGGGCCTACTTGGCCGTATGGCGGGTGTCGTGGGGCCGTCTTGGGCCGTCCAAGGCCCTTCTAAAGGTTGTCTTGGGTCCCACGGGATGCCTTCTTGGGCCGCCTTAGGACCGTATTGGATGCCTCTTGGGATGTCGTGGAGTCTTCGTGTGCCGTCTTGAGCTGGCGGCAGCCCGAACAAGCGAGAACACACATTCACTCAAACACCCAAAAGAAACCAATGATTTGGGCTTCTTCGGACCCTGTTGAAGGTGCTCTTGTGGCCCTCTTGTGTCTTTGGCCCTCTTGGATGCATCTTGGGCCATCGTGAAGCAATCTTCAGCCGCATTGGGGCTATCATGGGCCGTCTTCGGGGCATCTTGGGCCATGTTGGAGTAAGGAAGCATCAGTAAGGAATGCTTTCGGGAATTCTGAATCGTGAACCCTTAGAATAGGAATCCTTCGTGAGGTACCCTTAGTGCAAAATTCTACGTCAGGAACCCAGAGTAGGGAATCATGAGTAGGGAATCCTGGTTTCAACTCCAATCATATTCCAATAAAGGTGTTTCGTGCTTCAGTTGGATTCCTATTGATCTGGTTCCAGTTCTAATAGGAGTAAGGGGAAGGGTTCTACCTTCCTTGATTGTCGGTTATCGTTGTTGGGGTTGCTGTTGCTGTGGGGGGGCGTGCTGGCGACGCTGTCTTGTCTCCCGGCTTGAATACTAAAGGTGGGCGACATGGACGCGTTGGACGTGGCTCTCCAAGTTTGCTTGACCTTGTTGTCGTCCCACTCGCGACCCGGCCACGACCCACCCGCCACCACCAACCCGCCACCCCTCCGCGACCCAGCCGCCACCCACCCGTAACACCCAGCGAACCGCCCGCGACCCACCCACGACCCACCCGCGACCCACCCTCTCACCACCCACCCGCCACCCACCCGCCTCCTTATTCCTATCCGCAACCGCGGAATGGACATAAAAATTGTGAGAAGCAGCAACTGTTGTGAAGTCTACGTGGTGCAATTTTCAATGGGCAATATCTGTGGTAGATGTGTGGTGCAATCTATGTGTCACAATATATGTGAAGCAATCGATGCTGGTCAATCTACGTAGCACCACACAGTTCTGGATAAGAGTGAGGGGGCGGCGGTGACGTCGTCAGTCTGCGAGGCACTAAGCAAGCCCGCCGCAGGCGCCTGACTTTCACAAATTATGCAACGAGCCAGGCGCCGATTTTTTCGTTAAAGCAATGCGGGTGGGTCGCGGGTGGGTCGCGGGGCGGTCGCGGGGCGGGTCGCGGGCGGGTCTCGGGGTGTGCGGCGGGTGGGTGGCGGGTGGGTCGCGGGTGGGTCGCTGGGTGGGTCTCGTGGTGGGTCGCGGATGGGTCGCGTGTGGATCGCGGGTGGGTTTCGGGAGGGGCCGCAGGCCGGGTCGCGGGGGGGACGACGACAACAACGCCACAACAAACATAATCCCCGTTGCGGAGTTGGTTGACAGCCACGCACCCAGTGATAGTGAGTGACCGGTCTGTCCCCTCAATCTGATGTAACGTAACCTGAGTCCATCTTGTGCAATGCGCAGCGAGGCGATGCCAAGCAATGCGGAGCAATACACAGCGCTGTGGCGACGGGGCGGTGACGGCGACTTCATAGCTGCCAGGCCGACGAACAGGCCCAGACGACAGGCGGCGACAAGGCGGCGACGTGGCGGCGACGGGCACCACATAGCCGCCAGACCGACGCACAGGCCCAGTTCACTGTTTGGGGGATATGCTAGGTAGGGCCAGGTCGAATCCACCGTGGCATCCACGGATGACCCCCCCCCCTCCCCCACGGAAGCCCCGCGCCGAGCCTGTGAAAGCCAGGAGGTTTGGGGCCAGGGCCAGGGGCGGCAGGCCAGGGAGCGCCGAGCTCCAGGCCATTTGCTTGCCAGTCAACGCGCCTAGTAAGGACGCGCGCCTTCGTCTACGGTAGGTTCGTGTCGTGCCGACCGGCGGCGACCTCGCCAGCGGCGTTCAACGTTGAACGCCGCGGGCGACCCAGAATCGTTCGATGTGGAACGATTTGGACGTCTCGGAAACTGCCGATCGCTCGAGGCTGCGCAATCCCCGCGGTGGCAGAAACCAGCGCCGAGGTCGGCACGACACGAACCTGACGTGGGGTGCCCTGGTGTCCTCGCCGCTGCGGCCCCCGTGCCGTTTTCGCAAGTCGCCCGCGGCCTAAGAAAATTCCTCCTCCTCCTCCTCCTCCTCCTCCTCCCCCTCCTCCTCCTCCTCCTCCTCCTCCTCCTCCTCCTCCTCCCCCCTCCTCCTCCTCCTGCTCCTCCTCCTCCTCCCCCTCCTCTTCCTCCTCCCCCCTCCTCCCCCCTCCCTTCCTTCATCCCCCACCGCAGAAGAGCCCACCGCCGGTTCGTAATGCACGCTTTGGCTGCACAAGCAGCGAAGGCGGACGCCAGCGTTCGGTCGGAGAGCCGGCGGGCCGTGCAAGAGCCAGGGCCCCTGAGGCACCCAGGGGAAGCGAGGAGGGCGTAGAGGATCGCCCCCACTGGGAGCGCGCAGGTGGTCTCAGGCACCCGAAGCTACTCCGAATCCCAGAGCACAGCTGGGCAATATCACACTGTCGTACGTCGTGGTCTTCGTCAGCCGTCGTCGGCACCATCGCCGTCTTCGTCGCCCGTCGTCTTCGTCGCCCGTCGTCGGCACCCTCGTCGTCGCCGTTGTCGTCGCCCGTCGTCGCTGTCGTCGCCGTCGCCGCCGCCGTCGCCCGCGCTCGCCGTCGCCCGACGCCCGTCGAGGAGCGGCGGCGCGCTCGCAGCGCCGGTGATATGCAGGGCGCGCCGCCGCCTGGCGGCGTGCATGGGGCAACGACAGGGGGGGGGAGGTCAGAGCCCCGACATCGGGACGACCGACACGGGTACGGAAAGAATAGGCTCATCATTTTCTGTTCCTCCTCCTCCTCCTCCTCCTCCTCCTCCTCCTCCTCCCCCATCCCTCCTCCTCCTGCCCCTCCCTCCTCCCTCCTCCCTCCTCCCTCCTTCCTCCTCCCTCCTCCCTCCTCCCTCCTCCCTCCTCCCTCCTTGGGACGACCGATGCCCAACAGCAGTTTCTGTTCATTTCGAACAGAGCTCGCTGTCCGCGCCGCCGCGGCCTGTGTCCATGTGAGACAGAAGGCCGCCTGCCCAACGGCGGCCGCTGTTGGTTTGGGACAACATTTGTTGTTGGGCATCGTACCCGTCCTTTCCGTACCCATTTCGGGCGTCCAAACCCGAGTCGTCAGGGCTGGGGGCGGTCAGGGATAGCTGCAGATTCGCGCCTCTGGGGCCCAAGCCGGAGTCGCCCCAGACCACAGTCATATCCCGGATAATGAATTCGGGCGTCCGATTCTCCCGAATCTCGGGGGTGGACAGGACCCCCACCTTGATACGTCGATTCGTGAATTGTCCGTTTTCGGTTCTCGAGAGGGCGCCGCGGCCGTCATTTTCCAGGTTTGCGCCCGTCAGGTTTCGGCCCGAGGATGTTTTCACCAAACCACGTTCTACTAAATGTGGTTCTGTCCATCCCCGAGAATCATGATAGTTACATCCTCGCGCTTCGGGGGCCCAAGCAGGAGTTACCCCAGACAGCAGTTATCCCAGATAATTCGGGCGTCCAAGCATGTGCATACCCGTCGGTCGTTGAAAGTGGGAACCTTTAAGGGAGATCCTAGGCTGCTTCAAGCGCCTTCCTGCTTACTTTTCGGCGGCGAACGAGGGGGGTAAACGAGAAGGCGAAGGCCTTCTCGGAAGGCGGCGGAGCTTCTCAGAAGCCCTCGGGTTTTCTGCGAAGTGTTGTTTGGTTTGGGGGGAAGGCTTATAAACTGTCTCAGAAGTCTGGACGACTTCCAAACCTTCTGAGAAGGCCATCTCCTTTTCACTTCCCCCCTCGCTCGCCGCCGAACTCCAGGCACCGATTTGCTTTTGTCGTGTGTTGTTACTCTCTGGGAGGGCCTGAACCAATCTGCGTTACCCGCCTTCCTACTTCATGTTTCTGCCCACTTCTCCCGACCGAAGTAGTCGGCGACGAGCCGGGGGGGAAATGAGAAGGAGGATGCCTTGTCGGAAGACGGCGGGGCTTCTCAGAAGCCCTCGGGTCTTCGGAGAAGGTTCGGAAAATTGCTTGGAAGGTTGGGACTTCCGAGCCTTCTGACAAGGCCTTCTCCTCAGTTCCCACCCGGGGTTGCCGCCGAGCGTTGGGGGAAGCATCGACCCCGCATCGCCCATGGATCCACGGATAGGGAATCGATAGCCCGCCTCCCCCGCCCAAGATCGTGCAAACTCGCTGTCGGGGGCCTATCGCCGATCCATCGGCGATGCATCATCGATTCCACGTCGATGTGTCCCCCCCTTGTGCCAGCTCCGCCCTGTCGTTGCCCCTCAGGCGTGCCTCTGCTGCCGTTCGGTGCCCCCGGGTTGCCGGGCCTGGGGGCGCCGATGCTGGGCGCGGCGGCGCCCATGCAGGCCGCCGCCCCTTTCGATCTGCTGATGGGCCAATGTTCCACCACCGCTGCCACAGGCAGGACGGGGGAAGAAGGGAGGATGGAGAACTCCTCCTCGTCCTCCTCCTCCATCCCTTTTCCTTCTAGATAAGCTCCTCCATTCCTTTTCCTTCTAGATAATCGCCTCCTCCTCCTCCTTTTCTCCTCCATTCTTTTTCCTTCCAGATGATCTCTCCCTGTCGCACCCCGAGGCGGGCTGTGCGTTGCGCCCGAGGCTTCCGCATCATTTGCAACCCGGAAGTTTGAAAAGTGGCAACAGTTTCGCAGATGGAGGGCGAGTGGCTTTCAACATGTGGCTCTCGCCTCAGCGCCGCGCGCGTTCGTTCTCAATGTTTGCAAGAGTTTCACGGAGTGAGGGCGAGTGGTTTTCAACATGTGGCTCTCGCCTCAGCGCCGCGCGCGTTCGTTCTCAATGTTTGCAAGAGTCTCACGGAGTGAGGGCGAGTGGTTTTCAACATGTGGCTCTCGCCTCAGCGCCGCGCGCGTTCGTTCTCAATGTTTGCAAGAGTCTCACGGATTGAGGGCGAGTGGTTTTCAACATGTGGCTCTCGCCTCAGCGCCGCGCGCGTTCGTTCTCAATGTTTGCAAGGGTTTCACGGAGTGAGGGCGAGTCGTTTTCAACATGAGGCTCTCGCCTTAGCGCCGCGTTCATTCGTTTTCAAATGTTGCAAGAGTTTCACGGATTGTGAGCGGATCTTTTTCATAATGCGGCTCTCGCGTCACAGCCACGACGTTGACATGAGGAACCGTTCGGGTTGGGAAGGGGCTCGACGCTCCTTTCATTTGGTAGGTCCTTCCATGGCTGTTTCTCTATTGTTCCTCGTCCACGCAGGCGGGTTTTGGGTCCAAGAAGGGGCTCTGTTCCTTCTGTGGCGTTGCTTCTTTCAGCAGCCCGACTGTAGCGCCCCGCACGTTCGTGTTAAACCTCCTCCTCCTCCTCCTCCTCCTCCTCCCCCCCCCCTCCTCCTCCTCCTCCTCCTCCTCCTCCTCCTCCTCCTCCTCCTCCTCCTTTTGCAGCGGTGGCGAAGCATCGGCCCAGCATCTGCGGGTATCCGTCCGTGTCGGGCCGGTCGCTGGCGCCCGGCCTCGGGCCCCAGGGCGCGCAGAGGCCGAGGCGGCCCGAGGAGCGGAGCAGGGCGGCGGGGTCGCCGAGGCCTCCGGCTCGTCCTGGAGGGCCCTCCTCGCCATTGGCTGGGCCGTCGGGAGTCTGGCCAGGACGCGCCCGGGGAGAGGGTCGGGGAGCAGCGGCACGGGTCGGCACGACCGGAAGGGGCACGGAGAGGATGGGCAGGATGCCCGGCAGCAGTGCCTGTTCCTTCTGACTCAGGGCCCCGCTGTCCGCGCCGCCGCGGCCCGTGCCCACGTGAGACAGGAGGCCGCCGGCCCAACAGCGGCCGCTGTTGGTTTGGGACCACGTCTGTTGCTGGGCATCGTGCCCGTTCTTTCCGTGCCCACTTCGGGCGTCCAAGACGGGTGCCTGGTCGTCGGTGCTGGGCAGGAGGGGTTCTCGCCGTGAGGGGGGTCGGCGTCAGGAGCGCCGGCAGAGGGGGGGTGTGGCCTTTGGTCAGGGGGAAAAGAAACACACAGACACAATTAATCCTCGATTCCCCCGAAAATATGGGAAAATATGGGAAGTGGTTGGGAAGACAGAAGCCCAGAAAATATAGGAAAAAATATGGGGAATCTTTTTATTTGTGTGTATTTATTTGTGTGTCCTGGGGCCCCTTGGCATTTGGGTCGGGCAGGGGCGAGGCGGCCTGGCTCGCCCGGGGGGCCCGGCGAGGAGTGCTCGGGAGGACCGCTGGTGATTCGCACGGCGCGTTCTCGTGACAGGTCTGGCCGAGACTGTGACGTGTAGCACTCAGAGCGTGAATTACCAGCGTCGATTTAGCATCGACTGGCGTCGGTTCGAAAGAGCCGACGAGATGGTATGGGAGGCTCCCATGAGCTGCCACCGAAGGGTCCGAGTAGATGGTGTCGAAGGGTCGCTTCGCACCGCCGACGCCGATGATGCATCGCCGGGGCCGGAGGGTGCCCCGGGGTTCGTTCAGGTCCACTTCCTCGCTCGGCTGAAGGGGCCCCAGGACACACAAATAAATACACACAAATAAAAAGATTCCCCATATTTTTTCCTATATTTTCTGGGCTTCTGTCTTCCCAACCACTTCCCATATTTTCCCATATTTTCTGGGGAATCGAGGATTCATTGTGTCTGTGTGTTTCTTTTCCCCCTGAGTAGCACTCAGAGCGTGAATTACCTACCCCGCTTTCGCTTCCAGGCAAAACCAAGTCATACCACGCGCCTCCTCGTCAAGCGGCCTGACCAGTACAGGCCGTAGTTTGGCATCGTTTGGTATCTCTTGGAAGCGAGGGTGGTCAAAAGCGAGGTAGGTCTGTTTGCCCCCTAAGCACGTCGGGTTGATGTTCTGAGCACGTTGCTTCTGTTATTCTTGAGTCGGGCCTGTCCCTCGAACTACAGGAGGAATATTCAAAACGAGTCACGAAATGATATGGGGACCATTTTTTGAGTATTTGTGCTGGCCATGTTGGAGCATGTTTGGGGCATTGTTTTCGTCGAAAATACCCCTGTAGGGGTACACGCCCGACTGAATGTAATTCGGACATGTGTGGGTTCTCACAAAATTCTGCGGTTATAGGAGAGCCGGGACTGTCGGTGCCTGCTCAATCGGGGGGGTCGCGTTCCCTCCCTCTCCCGAGGCCCCGCCCCGGGCCCCCAGGCCGCGCGGCGCCCCAGCTGGGGGCAGGTCGCGGCTGACGAGTGGACCGAGCCTGCAGAGCCACCATTAGGTCGGACCTGTCCCCCTACAGGGGGGTTCTCGACGAAAAGTAAGAACATACCCCAAAAAGAATCAACAAATAATCCAAAATAGTCTGGGGACTATGTTTTGAGTATTTTTGTTGACCTTTTTGGGGTATGTTTGGGGTATTTCTTATTTTTCGTTGAAAATCCCCATGTAGGGGGACACGCCCGACTGAAAACCTCCACGGGTTGAGGATATAGCATGGTGCAGTCGAGGGGTCCCCATGCGAACCCTGCCCCTACCCCTACCCCTACCCCCGAAGTGAGCCCCCCCCTCCCCCTCAGAAATCGCAAGGGGCAGGGTTAGCACGTGGCCCCCGAACAGTATCAGTCCGCCCTCTCCCCTGAGCTGCTTGCTGTCTTGCACCTGCCCTGTGCTCTTCGGCTTGATCGGCCCCTTGGAGAAGTCTCGCGTCCTCGTTCCTCTCGTATCTCCACCTTGGTTCATCGCGGCAAAGCGGCATGCGCATCGCTGCGTAGCACAATGGCGAGGAAACGACAGCACAGCATGATCATTGCGCGGGTCAACAACCATGTTTTGCCGGGCCAATCTTGAGGTCGAGGATGGATGTCCATAATGTCCATTCCACCGTTGCCGATTCAGGCGGGCGGTCTGACCGATCTTGCGCCCAGAAATGGACTGACCAGGATCGGCGTATGTCTCTTCCGAACGATTCTTGGGTTGGTTACTATGGCTCAGAAGTGGCTGACGTATTTGCGGGTGTGGGCCAGGGGCGGTTACGCGCAGATGATGCAGAAGCAGCGGACGCGCTTGATGCTAAGGCACGGAGGTTGGTACGCGAGCGGGGGAAGCAAAAACAGGAAGGTGAAGAAGGAGACCGGAAAGGAAGCGCAGAATGGGGAGGAATGAGGAGGGAGGAATGAGCAGCAAGGACGAGTGGAGGAGGGAAGGGGTGAGAGCGAGGAAGAGGAGGGAGGATGGGAGAGGGAGGAGGAGGAGGAGGGAGCACGGGAGAGGCAAAAGGGGGATAAGCAGGGAGGAGGGAGGAGGAGGAGGGTGGAACTCATACCGATCACGACTTCGGGGGCGATGACGAGGACCGCGATGACCACTGCGACGACTATGCTGACGACGACAACACTGGCGTTGACGTCGACGACCACGCCCACGCCCACGACCACGATTCGACCACGACGACGACGGCGACGACGATGACCACGACCACGACCACGACGACGACGACGACGACGACGACGACGACGACGACGTCGACGACGGCGGCGGCGGCCCCCTCCGCCTCCGCAGATGGCGGGCATCGACCCCTCCACAGCGCAGGCTGCTCCCCCCATCGCCGTCGCCGTTCGCCGCCGCTTCGCCCCTTTTGTCCGCCGCCGGGAGGCACAGGCGATAGGGGAGATGGGGGTGATCAGGGGCAACAGTACCCATCGGTCGTTGAAAGTAGTTGTGGTTGGAGTCCCAGTTCCCAATCTTCTTCAGCCGCCTTCCTACTTCAAGAGTCGAGTGATTTTCCCTCCGTTCTCCTCTTCAGGAGGCGGGCGGACACCCAATCTACTTCCAACGCCTTCCTATTTCATGGTTCTGCCTATTCCTTGCGACTGATGGGCAGGCCTACGGGGGGGCCGGCTGTAGGCCCAGGGACGTTTCTGGCTCGAAATTTGCCAGCCTCGAGGTGCTTTCTGGCGACTGCGCCTCGCCGAGAGTTTTTTTGCGGGGGTGCCCAGATCGTCCCAAACGGTTGCCAGAGATTTGAGTTGACGTTAGGGGGGGGGATCTTCTTTGAGGGGATGCATCGACGTCTCGGGGATTCTAGGCTCTCCTGGTCTGTCTGGTCCCGGGGCTTTCTTGGCCCGTTTCATGGCCCTCTGGAGCGAGGTGACCGTCCCGCAGGCCCACGCGAGAAAACTTGGCGGCGTCCAGTACCGCCCGAGAGCGCCCGGGGAATGGTTGACGGCTCGCGTGTCCCCACCAGGGATCTTTTCGGCTCGTGGGCGCCGCTCGCCCGTTCGGGGTCGTCGGACACCTTGTCTCCCCCGTGCCGGTTGGGCCTCGCGCCCACGAGTTTGGCGATGTTCTTGGCGTTCCTGGCGTTCCGCCACCTCGCTGTCGGCGCTGTGCTTGGCACTGTCCTTGCTCCGCTGCCGCGGCTCCCGCCTTCGTGCTCTCCTTACACGCAATGGGCTCCATCACGTTTGTGCCTCTTGACCTCCCCCCAGCGATCCGGAGTCCTCCGTTGAGCGCCTGCACGGTTGCCCTCCTCGACTACGTGGCTGTGGTCATCCCCTTCGAGTACGCGCGCGTGGTCTTCGGGGATTCGGGCATGAATTACATCGCCATGTTGGCGCTGCACGCGGACCGGTTTCACTTCCTGGTCTCCTACGGCATCGGCGTTTTCGGCCTGTCTTTCGGCGTCCTCTTCGCTTCCCGAGTCGCCGCGTAGTTCGCTCTTGCGCGTTTCGTGCCTTATTTAGATTTTGGCGCGGCTGTCTCGTTTCTGGACGGCGCGCGGTTGGACCGCGACTCCCGCGAACAAAAAAGTATCCCCGCCAGTGCCCGTGGCCCCGGTTGACCCTTGACGCTGCGTGCGCCTTCGCTTGCAGCTGCGACGGGAAAAAATATCCCCGCCAACCGTTCTCTCATTGTCTCTCCTTTTCCCCTCTCCTGCGCAAATGAGGCTGTAGCTGGTGCGCTACGAGTTCGACGGCGCGCGGCACCTCCGTATCGCTCGCGATCAAAATTACCCCCGCCAGCCCATCCAGAAACGATGCCCAGGGGAGTTGAGGTGATCGAGGAAGTTGGGGGGGCGCGCAGAAGAACAGAAGGCGGGGAAAGCCGTCCGATACCCCAAGAGGGGAATGATGGCAAAAAAGAAGGAGGAGGACGAGGAGGAGGAGGACCAGTAGGAGGAGGAGGAAAAAGGACGAACAGAAAAGCCTCTTCGGATGTCTTTTGGGAGGTTGTTTAGAGGCCTCTTGGAAGGTCGTGGTGTATCTTGGGTGCTTCGAGGACCCTCTTCAAGCTTCTTGGAAACCTCTTGGGGGCCTCTTGCGCCTGTTGGGAGTTTTCGGCGTGCTCTTGGGGCCATCTTGGAGGAGATCGATCAAAGAAGACGGGCTCCTTGATTCGCCCATCCCCCCTCCTGCGAGAGCCTTTACTGTCGCCTCTTGGGGCGCTCTTGGGGCTGGCTTGGGGCTCTCTTGGGTCTCTCTTGGGGCCCTCGTGAGCCATCTTGAGGCCTCGGATGGTCATCGGAAAGGGAAGAAGCGAGAGCACAAAAACACATTGATTTGCTTTTGTTTTGGAAGGATGTTGGTTTGTTGGGGGCCTCTGTGGAGGTCTCGGAACCGTCTTGGATCGTTATTGCAGCCTCTTGGGGCATTTGGGGAACCGGTTTGAGGCATCTTGGGCTATCTTGAGCTATTTTGGAGGTCGTCGTGGGTTCTTTGAGGCCTTCTCGGAGCCACTTTAGGCGAACAAATACCCTCTGACACCTCGCGGGGCGCCCTGTCCAGCTCCAGGGAGGTGGTAGGGGGGAAGGAAGGGGAAAAAGGGAGTTGGAAGAGGAAACTCCCGAGTTCCCCTACGCCGAGAGGGCTGGTGGGATTGGGGTTCCGGGACCCACAAGAAACTTCCAAGCACGCCATTTCGTGTCAGTGATACGGTGGCAGATGTATGTTCGTTTACATCGATACGCGTATATATATGTATATATATGTATGTATATATATATACAATGTGCATGTGTATGTGTGTTGGCGTGTATATATATATATATATATATATATGGGCTTGTGTTTGTGTACGGGCATGTGTATGTGTATGCGTAGGCACGTTCATACGCGCGTACGTATGCGAGTACACATGAATGCAACTATATATACATATATATATATATGTGTGTACATATGCATGCGTGCATGTATGTATGTATGTACGTACGTAAGCCGATATAGGTTCGTGTATGATTGTGTTTATGTGTATGTGTATGTGCGTATGTATGTACATACGCGCGTGCGTGCGAACATGCGTTTCCATGTATGGGGTGATGCATGTATGTGGGCATGTAACAAAACATGTATAGATCCACGTATGTGCGTAAGCATGCACGTAAGTAGGCATGTATGCATGATTGAGTGGGTGTGTGTCTGTGCGTGCGTGCGTGCGTACGCAAGTTCGATTCTATGTATGTACGTATCTATGTGTGCATGCACGTACACACTACAGATGTATGGTTGGATGTCTGGACGGATGCATGTATGCATAGTTGCATGTATGTAGTATTTACGTGTGTACGTATTCATGTGTGTGCGTCAGTACGTACGCATGTATGTGTATGTACGTACGCACGGAACCACGTATGTATGTATGTTTGTAGGTTCGTCGGTATGTATGTATGTACGTATGTAAGTATGCATGTATGTATGTATGTATGGTGTATGTATGTATGTATGTATGTGTGTATGTATGTATGTGTACGTGTGTATGTGTGTCTGTAATCATGCATGTGTGTATGTATGTATGTATGTATGTATGAATGAATGAATGTATGTGTGTATATATGAATGAATGTATGTACGCATGCCGATACATTTATATATTATATACATATATATATATATACATATGGATGTCTGTAAGCATATATCCTGGGGGTGGAGATCCGGGGGGGGGCCAGCCCGTGGACCCTCCCCAGACAGTCTCGAGGCTCCGGGACGGCTCAAGAAGACAGCTCGAGTAACGTTCATCCGTGACCAGACGAACTTCTCCGTAAACATATTGACTTCTCGGCTCTCGTCTTAACTAGTTGTGGACCAACCGTTTGATTGTTTTCTTGTCCATTGTTTCGACGATCGGCGCGGGCCCCCAACCCCCCCTCTCACCCCCCCATGGAGAAGATCTTGGCTGTTTTTGGGGCGCCTGTTTCGAGCGGGTGGAGTCTGCCCGCCCCCATTTCCGCCAAATGTCGAAACGTCGAATACAAAGAGCGCTCACCATGTTCTCTTTTCCTCTTGCTCTTTCCATCGCTTCTCGCTCCCCATCTGGCCTCGCATGGGAATTGCGCTGCCGGTCCTCCGCGCTCTGAGCGGTTGCGCCGTCCATGGCCTGCTCCTTTCGCCAACTGGTGACTGAATTGCCGACGAGTTGGGGGTTGGCGATTTCGAGGGAGGTGATCCAACGGTGGATCCCACGAGCTCCAGTCGGCGGCGAGCGAGGGGGGGAGGTAAGAAGGGACGGGCCTTCTCAGACGGCTCGGAAGTCCCCCAGCCCTCTGAGATGTTTTCGAAGCCTTCCCAGAAGACACGAAACATCTCTCAGAAGGCGCGAGGGCTTCTGAGAAGTCCCGCCGCCTTCTGAGAAGGCCTTTTTCCCTTCTCATTCCCTTCCTCGCTCGCCGGCGCTTGAGATCTGCGGATGTGCGGCGTCATCCTTTCTACCAATCAGAGTCGCCCAATTGCTGCGTCGAGCTGCAAGACGAGATGATAAAGCGGCATGCCGCAGTTGCTTAGTCTCACTCCGAAGCTCAGCACGGCCGGCGCCCCCAGAGCCCCCCCCCCCAAGAGCATCGGCATCGCTCTCGGCCTGACAGAGGGTGCCGATGATGTCCGTGTCGGGGCCCACGACATCCTCAGCGGATCCTGGGGGATCCTGAGGGCAAGGGATGGCCCCGTCGGTGTCGCTGTCGCTGTCGAGGGCCCACACGGAGCCGCCGGAAGCGTGCGGAGACCCCGCCCCCGCCCCCCTCTGGAGGCGCTGCTCCTGCTCCAGCAGACGCAGCAGCAGCAGCTGATCCAGCAGCATCAGCAGGCGCCTCTCGCGGGTGGGATTCCTCGGAGGATCACCGAGCGCGTTCCGCACTCGCGAAGTGCCTACTCGCCAACGTCCGGGGATCACATGTCTGCATCGGCGCAATGTATCGTAATCCCCCGATGGCGGATCCAGGCCATCTGCGGGTAGTTGTTTTGCGATTGGCTCAACGCGCTTGTCCAGAGGAGGAGAGAGCATCGCGTTGCCCTTGCCGCTGCCCTCCCCTCGTTGTCGCCTCTGGGGCCGCGTGGGAGGCCCTCGTCGCCGCGGAGGGGCTCTCCTCGGAAGCCTGGTCCGGGCGCATCGCGGGGGAGGTCTTAGAAAGAGCGGCGGCATCGTTACCTGTTGGCTTGTCCGCGCGAGCCGCCGGATGTTCGTCCAACGCGCCGAAGTGAAGGGCCGCTTGTGGCGGTCACGATTCAGGAGGGACATAAAACACACAGACACAATTCATCGTCGATCCTCAGGAAAATATGGGAGAATCTGGGAATTGGGGGGAAGAGACAAGAACCCAGATCATATAGGGAAACATGGGGAATCTTTTTATCTGTGTGTATTTATTTGTGTGTCCTTGGGCCCCTTGAATGACGGTGATCGGGCGGCGCCTCAGATCCACGTCGGGGAGCCCATGCGCGGCCGAGGCGCGCCGTTGCGTAAGAAGCTCCCAGGATCACTGTTCCGCGTTCGTGGTGGTAGAGGGCCTTCTCGGGACCACCTCGGGGCTGCTGTCCTTGGTCTTTGTCGTCGTCTTTCATTTCCCATGGCTGACCACTTGCTCCTCTCTCCTCCTCCTCCTCCTCCTCCTCCTCCTCCTCCTCCTCCTCCTCCTCCTCCTCCTCCTCCTCCCTCCCTCCTCCTCGCTCATGAGCGAAATACATATCCCTTTTCCAAGCAGCTTCTGCTCTGACCCTGGACTGCGGCGGTCTTGGGGCGTTTTGGAGGCATGCTTGACGCTGCCTTGGTGCAGCGTGGGTCATAGGAAGGCAGAAGCGCCCACCTGGACCCGTCTTGGAACCATCCTGGACGCTCCAAACCCTCGCGAAACCTTGACGCAGGCACCAGGAGGATCCACTTCCCGCAGTGGAATAACGGGGTTGGACGAGCTTCAACACCACCTCCCAGGGCGGCAGGGTCTCCATGTCGAACGCCTTCCTACTTCATGTGTGAACGGCGATTTCCAACCTGCATATGCAGTCCACGGTCCAGGGGGGCTCGCCTCTTCTGCTTCTGCTTGCAAGGAACGTATGTCTCGGGTGGGCCAGAGGTGGCTGCAATGGACGGCCAGGAATTGGATGGAATTGGTAAATCGGGGGGCGGGGGGGGGTCCGGCCTGCTGCTCGTAGTCATTGTCATCCTTTTTATCCTCCTCTTTCTCCTCTTCGCAGGGAGACTCGAGCGGTATGTCCTCCTGCATTGGCTGATTATCGCCGTGTCCTCGCCGCTGCCGGATTGGATATCAAGGATATTTTACCGTCCATGGTTTACACATTAAGGTTTGTCGTACACGCTATACATCCGATTCCAGAGCAGATCGTCTCCCTTTTCGCATCCTCGTGTCTAGTTGGTAGCGGGGCAGGTTCGCACCTGCTCCCATTCCACGGTCGCCATGTCCCGCTTCGCCTCGACGGCCATGGTTCATACCCTCCGCCGCTCAACATCGTGAGACGTGCAAGAGACGTCGCTCATGGGCACGTCAGGACTGGACCAGCCCATCCGCAGGAACACCACGTCGTGCCGCTCGGCATCCCGCCCTACATCCAGGTCCATGTCTACATCCGCTTTCAAGGTCATCGCCTTCGGCGTGCACCTCTCTCCGTTCACTCAAGTGTCCGTCGGGGCATCCGCCCACCCGCCAGGACCAGCGGTCGAGACCGTGCACAACCAATGCTTCATCAAATCAGCACCACCAAGATCTACATGGACCGCTCTGCGACGCATCCAGGGCATGCTCGGACTGTGTCCAGGCAGCTCGCAGAACCCGAACTGTCAGTGCCCCCGCCCGTGCGGGTAGCTTCCTGTTTTAGACACGTGTTCGACACATCGTTCACATACGCTGTGTCAGAACACGGCCTTTGGTTTCTTGGGACTGTGTCCCCAGAGCTTTGCGAGAAACAAGCACAGAAGAGACATCCAGCGATTGAGTCGCTGGTGCCGAAAGGGATGGAATGGGGGGCATCGGAACTGTTCCCACACCCCCGAAGTAATGCAGCGGAAGGCATGGCGACTGGGACGGCATCGCTCCGAGGCACCTCGCTTCGGGAGTCGACCCTTCGCTGTAACCATTCAGACCCGCCAGCCACGCAGGACGGAATTTCGATGCGCACTCGTCCAGATGATCGTGCAATTGGCGGTGTTCAGAACAGTGACCACGCGACGTACGCAGAGCATTCCCGTGACTGTGGCGCGGGATGTCCCGAGTATTGTGAACGCGACAGTGACACGACAGATGGAACACATCCAGGGCAAGTATCCTCGGCGACTCATGCAACGCCGATTGAGTGCCCCCAGCTTCCGGCACTTCCTCGACATGTGGAGGGAGCTACACTCTGGACGGGGGGCCATCGGAAGTGGCATGTGCGCCATCGCGAGTTGCATCGCCTGCATGAGCGCCGGAGGTGGCAGCGGCAGCGTGCGCAGAGCACCAGGCTCGCGTGCCTTTCCAAAATTGGGCGCGCGAGGTGATGATCTGGTCAGTGACGATCTCAGACTTCGACGAGTTTCGCCAGGTGGCCTGCGTCTCGTCGCGCCTTGCGGGCATGGCGTGCGAGTGCGTAGACGATCCAGGGAGGGTTCATCAACGGTAAGCCAGTGCCACCGATGACCTCCCGAATGCACACTTTGGTCGACCGACGGGGCTAGATGGGCGAGGGGGAGCGCACTTCGGCAGTATCGTTTGTGATGAACTTCGATCGAATGCCGCAGGGGCGCATCGCCAATCCCCCAACGACTTCCGTCATCCTCCGCAACCGGGCGCAAGAAATTGGTCAACACACTATATGCCACGGGGGGCTCAGTTTCCTCCTGCTGTGGGCCGTTGGCGTGTCCAAAACTCAATTCACCATGTTCGTACAGCACTACATGGCCTACCCCCACGGACGTTCAGCAGCTCACCCAGATGGCGGTCCAGGTGAGACGCTTTGGGCACATGGTGGAGGGATCGCCAGGCAACTTCGCCTTGGCGGCCCACTCTGCCCAACTTGTCGCCGTCCCTAGGACAGCGATTGTGCCCCATCTGGGAGCGGCCAATTTTGACTGATAGAAGGCGTTGTTCGGTCCAGCATTGCCCCAGTTGCTGCTGGTCCCTCCCTCGCCTTTCGCCCCACGCCTGTTGATTCTTTGTGCGCCCCGCCTCGGGGGACCGTTCCACCGGAGCTGGCGCGCAGGATGAACTAACTGAGATGAACGCTTGTTTTGCAACCACTTGCGAAATCTACCCGGCAATGGAACATCGGACGCCACTGCTGGGCTTCATTTGTTTGCAAAAGTTGTTCGGGTTCTGACACCCAGCCGTCGTCACATACCCTTGACCTGCAGTGGAAAGATTCACATGCGGATGCGTATCCAACACAATCCAGCCCACAACTCCCTGTTTGACACTGGGGCTCCTTGTTGCGACTTAGTTCGGCCGATCAACACGTCACGGTCTATAACATCTTTCCCAAACGTTGTTTATGTATCCCATTCCTGGTTGGCCTCCACCTTCTACCCGCATCCAGACACTGTTTCTCCTCCCCCTTCCCCTTTTTCGTCGACGGGGGGAGGGGCGCGATAACTCGAAGTAGCCGACTGCCACGATTTCGATGGCAGCGGCGATGGCGACCACCTCCTCGACGGTTGCGGCGGCGGTGGCGGCGGTCCGCGACGGCTCCGACGACGAAGTGGCCTGTTTCCTCCCGCGCGGGCGCCGCAGGCCATGTTGCCCCAGGCCCAGCATGCGATCGGGATGCTGGCGTCGCCTCCCCCCGCCCGCCCGCCCGCGAAAAGGAAGAGACACGACATGTCAGGATTTGCCAAGCCACCCCAAGCCAACCTGGAGGTGCCAGACCCCCACAACAACAACAACAACAACAACAACAACAACAGCAGCAGCAGCAGCAACAACAACAACACCAACAACAACAACACCAACAACAACAACAACAACAACAACAACATTGGTTGGGGTGTGAACTGGCCCGAGTTTCCGTTGGATTAGGGTGGCTTGATGGAGGGGCGGCAGGAGTCAGAGCCGCCGAAATGCCACCCGCTCCTCGCCTTTTTTGGGGCCTCCTTAGAGGCTCTCGTCGCCACGGTTGGATTCGCCCGAAATTCTGGTCAGGACGCACCCCAGGAGAGGTCCGGGGAATAGCGGTATCGATATCGAAGACGCCTACGGAGAATCACCGCCGCCGCTTGCTTGTTGGAAGCGCCTCTGTGGCCGAGCGTTGTGGGCAGAGCTCGGCCAGGCGATCGGATCACATGTTCCCCCAGCTAGTGTTGAAACGCTTCGGGGAACACGTGGGGGAGAAATAAGAAGACGAAGAGGAAGAGAGTTCCCTTCGGGCTTTTCTGGAGGTTCTCTCGGAGGCCTCTTGGGTTACCTTGGGGCCATTTTGGGTGCATGTGGGGCCGTCGTGGACACATCTTGTGCCCGTCTTGGGCTCTCTTGGGGCAAT